CTGCAATGTATGTACTGCATAATAAACTGTGTAATACACACAAAGGATATTATCATCATTCACTTATGCAATTTGCAAATGTTAACTTTTTTTTTTTTTTTAATTTTATGGAATTTGTTCTGCCTCTGCTAATCATGTAGAGGAAAATGAGATATCAGACATTCAGTACCAGATGCAGAAGCAAGCTTATCTTTTGGCTACTGGAAACTTGTAAGGGATTATCTGCAAATTTCAAGCACTTCTGTGCAATCAAAAGACGAAAGCTTCCACATTATGTATAGTTTAAAAAAAACAAAAAAACAAAGATGCTGAATCCTGTAGTCTTTCTGCACAGCAGCAATCTACAAAGGGCCCTGGCCTGACGTCACTCAGGTTAAAAGCCATAGCAGCCACTTTACCCATAAAATTTACATTTGAGATCATGATATAAGACCACAGCCAGTTGAAATTATAACTATTGCACAGTTTTAAGCCACAACTATGCCAAATATTTATGGCATCTTTAAAAACGCATTAATTTTAGATTAAAATTTCCCAATCTTCATTGCTAAAATGCACCATCTAATTTAACTTAAGTGATAATAATAGTAATAATAGAAAATTAAGAAATGCAATGAACATAAAATCCCTACTCCAGGAATGGGCAGCTGTTTATTAATTTAAATGCCAGTTATAGTGTTTTCTTGCTTTTTATTTTGATTTTCGCTTCAAATTTTTGTTTAAAGCGCAGTATGAAATACATGCCAGAGTTGAGAGCCTGCTTGTAACGCATCTGTATTCTGTTCTGAACTTCTAACTATCAACAGTGCTTGTTCATTCGCAACAGAAAGTCCATGCCTCTGATCTGAAAGCCTCCTCATTTATCGGTCGAGGGGGAAAACCTCTGCAGTCGCTCAGGAGCACTCTCACCCGATTCTTCACGCCAAATACGAAAAGTGAGCCTCGGTGGCGCACTAATTAGACCCCACCCAGGCAACTTTAATAAACACATACATTTCCTTTTGTTTTTAAAATCCGTCCCTTCATATCAGGCCTCGCAGCAGCTTTAAACCAGGTGCTGGCATTGCAACGTATCCGCCCTACACAAGTGCACCCGCACACCCCCCTCTACCCTTTCCACCGCGGACTGGGAACACCAAGCCTCCGGTGAGGGCGTCTCTCAACCTTCCCCTCCCAGAGTTCCTTCCTGCCTAGAGAGTCGGGTGAAGATTTAGGGATTCCTCATTGGCCAGCGGGAAACGGCACTCAGGAACCTTAGAGGCTGGGAAAATCGGCACTTCTCAGGTACTTACATTTCAGGTTCTAAATCGAAGCTGCTCATACCGCCAACAGAACCCAACTCAACCAGCCATTTGGGGGGGGGGGCATCCAATCAGTTGGGACATTGCAGCAGCCTTATCTGCAGCCTTACCATTTTTCCACATTGTCACAGCATTGATGACTTCCTTTTCATCCTTTTTTTTTTTTTCTTGGACACTAACATTTATAGCATTTATTTCATTTCCACTCTTCAATTCCTACACAAACCTTAAAAATATTTCTTCCAGGATTCCATCACTTCAGTTTCATCCCAAAGCACATTTATTTTTATTTTCATTCACTTTGTAGGAGGCTCCTTATTTAGCCCTATTCACCCATTTCCCCAACATTTTTTTTTATTTCCATCAAAATCCCTCTGCATTTTCTCTGATTTTAATCTTAACTATTTGTTCTCTTTGACTACATTCTTTGCAATTATCTTGTTTTTTCCTGCATGGTCATTATACAGTCATTCATCACAATTTGTGATTATTCTTTTATCTGCATTTTTTGTAATCCACAGCCTCTTTCACTTCCTCATTCCACCAGGCATCCTTTTTCATGCTTTCCATTAGTGTAACTTCACGCACTTCAGTGATAGTCTGTAACACAATTCTTTTTACTCTATTCCAAGCAGCGTCTATATTCTCTTTAATCAACTCATTAAAGTTAAGGCAGCTCTTAAAGCAGCCATTTTTTTTCCAGGTTTATACAGAAGCCTGAAAAAGGTTGGGCCACTTTCATGAGCAGTAGAGGCTTCTGTGCTTGTGCAATATCTGAAACACTTTTTCCAAATTATTTTCAAAGTGTGCAGAGCCCCAGCTTATATATGCTACTCCAAAAGTTGATGGCACTGCAGCAAGCAAGCCACTATTTATTTATTTATTCATTCATTAATCATATTTATATAGCCACCCATCTCACACAAGGTGACAATGCCAAAATGTTGACATATATATGTGACATTATCACACAATACCACCTTTATTTGGTTGCACCCCAACATCAGATGCAAGTATATAAGTCACAGCATTTGTGTGAAGATATCATGAATATTTTGTCATTTGTCCCTCTGTTGCCCACCCCAGCAGGAATTATGTGCTTAATTCATTTGCTTGGATGGCTTATTGCATTGGTCAGTTCAGTCTTTTCTGTATTTCTGGAGCTAAAATACTTAATCTGGTGATCAGACATGCAACTAGGCTGGAGACATTATTTCTTCATGGTTTCCAATCAAGCCACAAAGCAATTAAAACAACAGGCACTAATATGAGATGGGCGGCTATATAAATCAATTTAATAAATAAATAAATAAATATATTTTGTCAGAAAACGACAGACACGGGTTCGGTTATCCAGTAGACAGAAGTTTTTATTGGG